TGCTCATACCGTCATCATCAAGGGTACCCAGATCTACTCGCCTGAGAAGGGTAGCTGGGTCGAGCTTAGCCCTCAGGATGTTCTCCAGATGCTGGGACGAGCTGGACGACCTCAGTACGATACATTCGGTGAGGGTATTATTATCACCTCGCAGACCGAGATTCAGTACTATCTGTCGCTTATGAACCAGCAGCTGCCGATCGAGAGTCAGCTTATGAGTAAGCTTGCGGATAATATGAATGCTGAGATCGTTCTTGGCAATATTCGCACGCGCGACGAGGGTGTCGATTGGCTAGGATACACTTATCTGTTCGTCCGTATGCTTCGTTCACCCGGATTGTACAGCGTTGGCGCCGATTACGAGGACGACGAGGCACTGGAGCAGAAGCGTGTCGATCTTGTCCACTCTGCAGCAGTCATCTTGGAGCGGGCAGGCCTTGTCAAGTATGACAAGAAGACAGGACGCCTGCAGTCGACTGAGCTTGGACGCATCGCCTCTCATTACTACATTGGCCACAACTCCATGTTGACGTACTCTCAGCACATCCAGCCCTCCATCACGCCCATCGAACTCTTCCGTATATTCGCCTTGAGTGACGAATTCAAGTACATTCCAGTCCGTCAAGATGAAAAGCTCGAGCTTGCCAAGTTGTTGGGACGTGTGCCTGTTCCCGTTAAGGAAGGCATCGACGAGCCTCACTCGAAGATCAATGTTCTACTGCAGGCCTATATTTCCAGACTCAAGCTTGAGGGGCTGGCTCTTATGGCAGATATGGTTTATGTCACACAGTCGGCTGGTCGTATTCTCCGCGCCCTGTTTGAGATTTCCTTGAAGAAGGGCTGGTCATCTGTGGCCAAGACGGCTCTCAATCTCTGTAAGATGGCTGAACGACGGATGTGGCCGACGATGACGCCGCTGCGTCAATTCCCGAACTGTCCTAGAGACATCCTGCAGAAGGCTGAAAGAATCGATGTGCCATGGGCTAGTTATTTCGACCTTGATCCTCCTCGCATGGGTGAGCTTCTCGGTATGCCTAAGGCTGGTCGTGTTGTCTGCGACCTCGTTTCCAAATTCCCTCGCTTGGAAGTTCAAGCGCAGGTTCAGCCTGTCACTCGTTCTATGCTCCGGGTTGAGTTGACCATCACTCCCAACTTTGTGTGGGATGTGGCGCTCCATGGAAACGCGCAGGACTTCTGGATCTTGGTCGAAGATTGCGATGGTGAGGAAATTCTATTCCATGATCAGTTCCTTCTCCGCGGAGACATTGCGCAGTCCGAGATGAACGAGCACCTTGTCGAATTTACTGTTCCGATCACTGAACCTATGCCCCCCAACTACTTCATCTCGCTCGTTTCGGACCGTTGGATGCACTCGGAAACGAAGATCGCTGTTTCTTTCCAGAAGCTGATTCTTCCGGAACGCTTCCCCCCGCACACTCCTCTCTTGGATATGCAACGTGCTCCTGTCAAGGCACTGAAGCGCGATGAATACCAGCAACTGTACCCTGAGTGGCAATACTTCAACAAGATCCAAACACAGACCTTCAAGTCCCTGTTCGATACGGATGACAATGTCTTCATCGGTGCTCCTACCGGTAGTGGCAAGACTGTTTGCGCAGAACTTGCGCTGCTGCGTCATTGGGCTCAGGAAGACAGTGGCAGGGCCGTTTACATTGCCCCGTTCCAGGAATTGGTTGACCAACGTCTCGCCGATTGGGAGAAGCGACTGAGCAACGTCGCCGGCGGGAAGACTATTGTGAAGCTTACTGGCGAGACGACTGCCGACCTCCGGCTTCTAGAGCGTGCCGATCTTGTCCTTGCCACCCCTACTCATTGGGATGTCTTGTCCAGACAGTGGCGGAAGCGTAAGAACGTCCGGGCAGTGCAGCTTTTCATCGCTGATGAGATCCAAATGCTCGGTGGCTACGGAGGATATGTGTACGAGGTGGTGGTCTCTCGTATGCACTCCATGGCGCTGGAAACCGAGAGTGGCATGCGTATTGTTGGTCTGAGCGTGCCGCTTGCCAATGCTCGCGACCTGGGTGAGTGGATTGGTGCCAACAAGCACACAATCTACAACTTCAGCCCGCATGCCCGGCCGGTGCCTCTTGAGCTTCATATCCAGTCTTTCACCATCCCCCACTTCCCCTCGCTTATGCTCGCCATGGCCAGGCCTGCGTATCTTTCGATCCTTCAGCTATCCCCCGACAAGCCTGCCATCGTCTTCGTGCCTAGCCGCAAGCAGACTCGTTCCACCGCTATGGATCTCCTGGCTGCCTGCGCTACTGACGATGATGAAGACCGATTCCTTAACGCCGATGTCAATGAGCTGGCGCCTCTCCTGGGCCGCATTAATGAACGAACTCTCGCAGAGTCACTGTCACACGGCATTGGTTACTACCACGAAGCGCTCAGCGCGACCGACAAGCGCATTGTCTCTCATCTCTTCAGTATCGGTGCAATCCAGGTCCTCCTTGCCTCCAGAGATGTCTGCTGGGAGCTCGATCTCACCGCACATCTCGTAGTTGTCATGGGAACGCAGTTCTTCGAAGGCCGGGAGCACCGCTATATCGACTACCCTATCAGCGAGATTCTCCAGATGTTCGGCAAGGCCTCTCGTCCTGGCGAGGATAAGATTGGTCGTGGTGTGCTCATGGTCCCAGCTGTCAAGCGGGAATACTATAAGAAGTTCCTGAACGAAGCTCTGCCCGTTGAGAGTCACCTGCAAGCCTACTTGCATGACGCCTTCGTCACAGAAATCAGCACCAGAACGATTGGATCAACTCAAGATGCGATCGACTGGATGACTCACACCTACTTCTACCGTCGGCTTTTGGCCAACCCCAGTTTCTACGGTCTGACCGATGTCAGCCACGAGGGCCTCAGTACTTTCCTGTCGGAACTGCTGGAGAACACGCTGAAGGAACTGTCGGATGCCAAGATCGTTGATCTGGATGAGGAGGATGACAGCGTATCGCCTCTGAACGCGGCCATGATTGGGTCTTACTACAACATCTCATTCATCACGATGCAGACCTTCCTTCTCTCTTTGTCGGCTCGCACGAAACTCAAGGGTATCCTGGAGATTGTCACGTCAGCCACCGAATTCGAGTCGATCCAGATGCGCCGTCACGAGGACCACATCCTGCGTCGCGTATACGACCGTGTGCCAGTCAAGATGTCGCAAGTCGCCTACGATTCGCCGCACTTCAAGGCCTTCGTGCTGCTGCAAGCTCACTTCTCGCGCATGCAGTTGCCGATCGATCTTGCCAAGGATCAGGAGGTCATTGTCAGCAAGGTTCTCAACCTGCTCAGCGCTTGTGTCGATGTTCTCTCTTCGGAGGGCCACCTGAACGCCATGAACGCCATGGAGATGTCCCAGATGGTCGTCCAGGCCATGTGGGACCGCGACAGTCCTCTGAAGCAGATTCCCCACTTCGGCCCCGACGCCATCAAGGTGGCCAACGAGTACAAGTATGTCCCACCATCCTCTCCATCCCATACCACCGTCACTAACAACCCTCCCAGCATCAACGACATCTTCGAATTCATGGAAGCCATGGACCCCTCCGAGAACAAGGACTACGCGACCTTGGTCAAGCGCCTCGGCCTGGACAACAGACAACTGGCACAAGCCGCGGCCTTCACCAACGAGAAGTACCCCAACCTCGAACTGGACTTCGAAGTCGAAGATCCAGAGAGCGTCACCTCCGGCGAGCCAAGCTACCTCAAGGTCAAGATCGAGCGCGAGGTCGAAGAAGACGAAGAGCCCGACACCTCCGTGCACGCACCCTTCTACCCCAACAAGAAGATGGAGAACTGGTGGCTCGTGGTCGGAGACGAGAAGACAAAGAACCTGCTGGCTATCAAGCGTATCACTATTGGTCGCAAGTTGGAGCTGCGTCTTGAATACATCGTGCCTACCCCTGGTGAGCACGAGCTGACTTTGTACTTGATGAGTGACAGTTACGTCGGTGTGGATCAGGCTCCTACGTTTACTGTTACGGCTGCTGAGGGAATGGATGAGGATGAGGACGAGGAAGAGGAAGATGAGGAGTAGATGCATTGATGGATAAATCTCTTCGCCGTGGATGATTCCGGATGGATAGGATTTCGTTATGGTTCGCATTTCTGTAATTATATGTGTAATGTGAAATAACATGAATCGTTTTTAAAGTTATGAGTTTCAATCTTTGTCTACGTACGTGAGAAGTCTGTTGTACACTACTGCTCATGATAGTGAATTAACTAGAATCTATCGGGCAACTTTTGAGGCACAATCCCTGAATTCACTCAACCTGCCTTCTTGTAGCTCAACCAGCACGCTTCTAGTAAGAAATAAGACTGTCATGAGATTGAAGGATTAGGAAGAAACATAATATTTTCTTTTCTTGGAACTAAATCCGAAATCCTGGATACCTGCATAATCCACATAAATCAATCACTATGCAGTGGGCCATGTGTACAAGTGCGGCTTATTTTACTGGGAAATCCAGTCTCCATATTCCTTAAACATACTCAAATGATGAAGATCCCGTTTGGCAGAAGAAGCCAAATGGAGACAGGCGGTGGGATGGATGGCTGCTGCGGGCCCGAGCCGAGCTGACTCGACAGACTGACTTCATGACTGTCAGCGTTGTTTGGTATTTGAGACTTAGATGATCTTAGCGTATGGTAGTTCATGGGCTCTTCTTTAGCCTAATGAAGGATGGTTTTGCATATCCCTACCTTTTGAGGTTAGAAACAATATCTGCTGGGCATGGTTGGAGAGATGATTCAGCGGATGTCGGAAGCCCGAAGCCCGAGAGAGCGTGTCCATTTACCGATTAGGGCTGTGCTGTGGACCCGAGCCGAAAGAGCATGGGACCTTCACTTCAGTTCATGGCATATCTAGCCTCATGGGCTTTGATGGAGGGCGAGCTATTGGAAAGGAAACAGACGGAAAGGATAATGTAGTGAGTATTGAGTGATATCGAGGACAATTCATACCAGCAGGTTGCTTAGGGCGCTCGTAGTCGTGTCAGAACTTGCTCATAGATCCTACTGATACCCCAGTACTTCAGCGCTCTGAGGCTCAAGATTGATTCGTCTAAGAATCTGGAGCGGCCTCGATCAGACATGATGTCACCAATTCCGGGCAGTTTGATGCGGCCCCAGCCAGTGTTGATCCATTCAACAGCGCTCATGCCACCCCATTCCGGGGCACGGAGGGTAATAGACGGCGCCTCAGTCGCGGGAGAAGGGTAGCATTGGGGGTTGCAGAGTGAAGAGTACAGCCATATCACTAGAGCGGCTCTGAAGAAGAAGACGGGGGTGGAAAAATGTGCACAGTGATGGGATCGCACGGTTTCGAGTACCCGTGCGGCGTAAAAGATGGCTGATCTTCCTTTATGTGACACAGCGCCCCATTCATCAGCTATTTTGCCCAAGTCAAACTCACTCAGCTGCCGGCCCTTGATCTTCAATGCTGTAGGTAGTAATGGCAGTTTCGGGATATTGTTGACCATGAGGGCATAGAGAATCATGAGCCTGTGAGTCGCGCAGACTTTGAGCTCATGGGAGGAACATTCTTCCTCATTCTCTGTGATCTCCAAGAGTTGTCTCAAATCTCTATCCACTTCACTTAGATCAGATGATGAGGATCCTGGGAAGTTCTGGTAACCACTGACGGCATTGAGTAGGAGCTGAATAATAGCTTGCTTCCCAAGAGTGCCAGTTTTACGCCAGACAGCCGACCAGTTTCTATCAGAAGCAATGTGCTCCAATGTAGAGGGTTTATTTCGGCCTGATATGTTAAAAGTGATCATAACAAACGGCATATCGAAACCTACTTGTGTGTTTTGGGAAAATAGCCCAGCCCTGTGCTGTCGCCGCTTCCCAGAGCTCCTCTTCCTGGGGCAGGGTATTCTGCATCTCATCATCCCGTACTATAGACGACAAATCAAAATGTATGGAGAAAGCTGTATCGCTAGCTGCATGACCACGTCAGATGCTGTAATAGCTAATATGTCCACGTAAGCACGAAAAGATTTGGGAAACCACTAACCCAGATAGCGTAACCGGTGCGTCGCCTCTCCTCATCCAGAGTCCAGATTTGCCATTTTTGGGCATTTGGAAGCTCTAGCTGATGGATTTTCTGGAGGGATACAATGCTTCTGAAGATCTGACTTCGCCGAGCCACGGTAACTGGAACCGCTTGGTACACTTCAGCGACTTCTAGGGCCCTCCGTTCGCCAGAGTATCGCAGCCCCAGTTGGTTGAGAAGGAAGACCCGCATAAGCCACAGCTCCCGGGCATGTACATTCAAATTCTCACACTAGCAAATAAGTGTATTGTCAACCGTAAAGCATTGAGCATATAAGCTGCGGGACCTCGCTTACCAGATGCATGGACTGACGTCTCACCAGCTCGTGCATAGCTCTCGAACAGGTCTGCGCATGTGGGAGCCCGGAGAATTGAGCGCCGATAGCACTCACGACAAAGATAAGGAGCCAATGCGTGCCCGGTGTACAGAAAGACGGCTTGTGCAATATAGGGAAAACAGGATGGAAGTGCTCAAAGTACAGCTGCACCCAAGAATTGATTACTGGCAAGGGTGGAATTTTCAGCTCAGTGAATGGTGGAAAGGTCGGGTTTCCTTGCATGACCCGCGCCACACGATGTACTTCTTCCACCGCTGCAGCAGGCACGTCGTTCACGTGGGCAAAGTTCTCTTCGTCCACTCGTTCTATAGGCAGGCCCTCCATGTCTGGGAAGGACAGCTGCGCATCGATAGTGATAGCAGTTGGGGAATACCGTCTTGGTTCCATGGCTTCGTCAATTTCCAGAGAGTGATCATAACCGTAGATTTCGGCAACTACACTTGGTGTCAACGGTAAGAATGGACGAGCTACCCTCGAGACTGTATATAAAGGGGAAGATGAGGACTCCGTCTCTGCTGAGGCCAACCACAAATCATTCGGACCATCGTTCAATGGAGGGGTCTGCTCTAGGATACCAGATAACACATTAGCATCGATGTCAAGGCCCAGGAAGCTCTCAAACCCCATCGCATCGGTGGCGAGCAAGGCCGGTGTACTCTCGTGCGTAGTTGCTGGAACGTGGTTCGTAAGGTGACTGCCACTTCCATACGCCTCCACGTTTTCCATGCTCCTGGCATTTACTCTTGACGTTGTAGGCTGCAGTTGAGTCATTGAATGCATGGTAGGTGGTGGTGGTGAAATAATGTCCTCTGGGAGCTGGGTTGATTCCGGTGTGAGAGAAGATTCCCAGTTCTGAGGTGTAGCTGTACCACGGTGCCGTTTTGAGATTGAAGGGTGCGTTGTAGCAGCAGCATTCGCGAGCTTGCGCTTCTGGGGTGACTGGTAAACACAGTTGGCCCCATTTTTCTGACACCTCTGACACGGTTTCTGTCCGTCACAGCGAACTTTGGACAAGTTGCATTGCTTGCATGCCTGCGCTACCCGGCGTCGCTCACTGGTATGCGCGCTGCCATTGGGGACGATGTGTTCATGTCTTGTGCTGTGATGGCGAGCAAGTGAGTCTCTACAGACTGCATATCAGCTTGAGAGTACTACTCAATTCACAAGTAAACGAGGGCATACACTCGACTGAACTGTTGACCGCACTCGACACAAGCAAAGGGCTTTTCCTTGGTATGAGTGCGGATGTGGCGCTGATAGTGCTCGGGCCGCTGGAATGAAGCATTGCAAGCTTCGCAGCGCCACTGGGTGGATTGCATTGCACCAGATTCTTCCGTAAGTATAAGTTGCGCAGCATCACCTGAAGGACTGACTGACAGGCACTCAGGTAGCATTGTAGTTGTTGTTGCAAGGATGGAAAGGGACTGGGGAGGCATGGGATTCGGCCTGCTCTTTGGGCCATCGCCGCTAATCCCGAACAGAACTCCACCCACTAACCCACTTCCTCCGTTCAATCCACAAAGACTCCACATCTAACCTCTCTTTCTTCCTCTTCGATTTCCTGCGCGAACCTGACACAGCATTTCTGTGCAGTTCCTAGATATCTATACATGGGCTGTGGTATTAAGCAATCTTTTAACAACTCTATTTAGTACACAGGCTTATTGGGCAGGGTCAGAAAAGAGTGACAGGCGATAAGCACTCGGGTCTATTGCAGTACTCTTAAAAAGAGTCACGATAGATTAGGCGCTCACTTTAGCCGTCCGGAGAAGCTGCTGAGCTTCCGGACTGGGGTACGAACTCCAGGTGTAGGAAAACATATCCGGAGGCAACTCGGCATCGGGCACATAGGTCCTCAATTCGTCCATCATCTGGCCCCGGCGATCGTCGCTTACCTTGGACATCAGCATCACCGTTACAGATCGCCCATAGCGTACCTTGTTGTACAGTTCCAGTCTGCCCGGGATATCATTTTTGGTACACTCGGGGGTGAAAAGGGCACCCAGAGCTGCGCCATCTTCGAGGCTCTGCGCACCGCCTTGGCCCTGGTCTACGTCATAATGTAGTTAGCAATGGGCGCAGCATAAGCCCGAAGTCACCAGAAACTCACGAGGCAGTGTTGGGTGGGCGGCATCTCCGATGAGTGCTAGCTTGCCACGGATGAAGGTGCGCGGCGGAGAACGAGACGCCAAGCTCCAGAGCTTCAGGTCTTCTGCCAATTTGCACATTTCTTGAAGCTCAGGGCTGAACACACTGCATGTTTCAAGCAACGAATCCAGATTGCCGCTGTCTAGCCAAGAAGACTCCCTAGCGCTAGAGTCGGCTCCTGAGGGATGGATAGCGGCGATATTGAGCAGATCGCCGTGACGACAGGGATAGACGACTAGTCGGCGATCCTCCGTGGTGAAAACGTCCACAGCGTTCGATCCCATCTTTTTCAAAAGAGAGGCAGTGAGGGGGTTGCTTTTCATCTTGGAGACAGGGATAAGGAAGCGAAAGCAGTTCTGCCCTGTGCTTTCCTTCTTGGTAGGTCCACCGATGACACTGCTAACACACCGAGACTAGTAGAACAATTTAGTATACAAGACATAGATTCCACAAAGGGCGTCGTTCGTACATGCATGCCATCCGCCCCAATGATTAGGTCACCAGTGTACTTGGTACCGTCCTCGAGGGTTACCACTCCAGCCTCGGGATCCTATCAATCATCTAGGTGAGTAACTTGGAAACACTGAATGAAGCAGAATATATACTGACCACCGAAGCTACGCGAGAACGCAAGTGAATAGTAGGCTTCTTGCCATTGACCTCCTTGGCAGCTAAGCCTCTAAGAGTATTGTGCAAATCCACTCGGTGTGTGAGCAACCACTCATCGTAGATACCCAGTGCTTCCTGGGTGTCCTTAGTCACCTGCATGGATATTAGCCTTGATCGACCATCTCATCCTCTAGAAAAGCACCTACAACTGGGATGTACATAAGGTTTCCTTGGTGATCCCACAACCGCATTTCGTTGCAGTGGACCGGCTGCAGGTCCTCTAAGTTGCATTCCCAATCTTTGAGGATGCGCGTGGCATTAGGCGCCATGTGGATCGCAGCTCCTACTTCATTCAGGAAGCCGGACTGCTCGAGGATCTGATGAAGTTAGCTCCACACAGGATTGAGCGATAGTGTAGCCCCTGTCGACAAACCTCAATATCATGACCTTGGCGGTTCAACGCAATGGCTGCGCCCAGACCGGCCAGGCCAGCACCAACCACGACAATCTTCAAGGGCATTTTAAAACAGCACTTATATTGAAGAGTAACAAAGTAAGCAGACGTGCAGCGGAAAGCATTCTAGTGTGGCTATCAAGTGGACGTCTTGCTTGCTTTAAACACGTGGTTGAAACAAGTTCTCGGCCAGACCACTCGGCATCTCTCTTCGGTCTGCCCACAGTAGCCGATCGGTTCTTGGCTGAGCATCAAATCTGTGTATAGCAGCTCCACCGGACAGGAGAACCAAGTGAACCGGTGTTTTGCATTTGCGCTATGAAGTCATAAATTATCATTCGCATCTTAAATGCTAAACTAGATTGTGTGGCTCGCAGCTCTTCCGTAACATTGGGTAGAAGCCGCTGTTTGCAACGGCGAATCCTCGGTACGATGTCAGACATCCTTTCTGCAGGGCTCGGAGACTTGGACCCTTATTTCACGATCTGCGGGTCTCTGGCTGACAGTGCTAGTGCTGTGCTTGTTTGTGGTCCCTTTCCTCGTTTCTTTTGATAAACCGGTTGCAGCCGAGGCCGAACGTGACGAATGGTATGGGTAGACGTACAGATCTAGGTCATTAATATTCCCTCCCCCTAGAATATAAGACTTTCTCTGGATAGCATCAGATTTCGTTCAAAGTTTATGCCGGTTTGTAGGAAATCTGGTCACTGTTTGGCATGATTCTCACAACCGAGCGGGCGAGCCAGTGATCATTATGGAGTGCCTGAAGTCCCCACCGGGGTGAACCACAGTAGCAAGTAGGCACTTGATTCCCCGCATTTCTCGGGATCCCGTAACAACTCGAATCAATGTAACTCGCGGTTATATATGCTAGAATTGGGATCTGCCGAACTTTGCCATCTAGGTTCCAGTAACTCTGTGAAAGCAGGGAGTAGCCGGAGTTCCGTTGGGAGATCCGGGGAGAGATGATGGTAGAAGCTGGCAGATGATGGGTCAGCCGATAAGGGAACTCCCCTCACCGACCACCTCATTCCTTCTGCTGCTTCCCCTCACGGTCCCCATTCACCTCATTCATCTGCCTGCAGCTCTCCCCCATCTTTCTTACACCTACTCGTCTGACATCCATCAGCCACGAGGAGGAACTGCGCTTGTCCATTCCTCACTGGCTATTCGTATCGATTTTTGTTGTTCAGCAACAGTAATCCACCCCCCTATCTTATCGCTGCTCATCGATCAGCTACTGACCCTTCTTCGATGCAGGTGACATGACCATCCGATCCATGAAGTTTACTCCAGAGTAAGCCATCACCAATACCAGCAGCAGAGCTCACTTCATCATTTCATCTACAAATATCAATTCTTCTATTTTAAGGAATTAAAGCTGACCTGTCAGGGTTCTGCTCGGAGCCCCTAGGCGCTCCGGACCAGTTCCGAATGCCTCAGGCACCCTTGCTGTCTACACTCAGACAACCTACTCGTTCGAATCTCACTCCAAAACGAACGAGATCCGTGTTCTGGATATTGCCACTGGCCGGTCGGCTCTGATCACCAACGACGCCGGCGCCAGCTGCCCGCAGTGGCTGGGTGACAGCAACCAGCTGGTTTGGCTCAAGGCCAAGGCCAACGGCAACACCAGCTTTATTGTGGGAGATGCACGTGAGGCAGACAAGACGTACACGGCGGGAACGGTCCCTGGCCCAGTTTCCGATCTTAAGGTCACGGTCGTCGAGCCGGGCAAGATCGGCTTTGCTGTGACTGGTAAGGCTAACCCTGATGGGACGCTTTATAATCCGCATGACGCAAAGAAGCCAATCAGCACCGGGAAGCTCTTTACGTCGCTCTACGTCAGACATTGGGACTCGTACATCGAGCCGCAGAAGAATGCCATCTGGTATGGCTTGCTGCAGCGCGCCCCTCTGTCGCCAGCTACCAGACAAGCGGGCAAGTACTCCGTGTCAGGACTGACGAACTTGATTTCGGTGAGCGGTCTTGCGGGTGTCGAGGCCCCTATCCCGCCATTCGGGGGCACCGGGGACTTTGATATCAGCCCGTCAGCAATTGTCTTCGTGGCGAAAGATCCGGACCTCAACCCTGCCACGCACACCTCTTGCTCCTGCTACTACTGCCCCATGTTTTCATGGACCGGCGTGAACGCATTGGAGGCCAAGGTCTGCGCGGTAAAGGGACTCGAAGGTGCCATGTCTTCCCCGATCCTCACTTCGGATGGCAGCTCGATTGTTCTTCTCGCCATGCGCGAAGACGGTTACGAGTCGGATAAGAGACGTATCTTATATGTGCCGAACCCCTGGAACGGCGAAATGATCGAGGTGTTTGCCTCCGCAGACGGAGAGGGATTGTGGGATTCCAGCCCGTCTGGCCTGACGTTCTCGAATGACGACCAGTCTTTGTTCATCCAGGTCGAGGAGTATGGCCGTGGCGTGTTGTACCAGCTTCCTATGGCTGATATTCTCCATGCGACTCCGGACAAGCTAAAGAAGATCACTGATGCGGGCTACGTCACGGACGTCTATCCCGCATCTAAGAATTCGACAAAGCTGCTCATTTCTAGCACTAGCTTGGTGGATAATAGCGTCTGGTCCATTGTCGATCCCGAGTCTCCCAGCGACGTGCGTGTTATCTCCTCCATCGGTCGCAACGGTGCTGTCTTCGGACTCTCGCCCTCGCAGGTGGATGAGATCTGGTACCGAGGAGCGAACGACACACCTGTCCACGCCTGGGTTGTGAAGCCCTCTAACTTCAAGCCGGGCAAGAAGTACCCGTTAGCCTACTTGATCCACGGTGGGCCTCAGGGTGCCTGGTGCGATCAGTGGAGCACGCGCTGGAATCCGGCGGTGTTTGCTGAGCAGGGCTACGTGGTGGTTACGCCCAATCCCCGAGGCAGCACCAGTTACGGACAAAAGTTTACGGATGAGATCCGTGGCAACTACGGCAGCCTGCCATATATAGATCTCGAGAAGGGGTTCGATTATATTGAGAGTAACCTGGAGTACGTCGACACATCCCGTGCTGTGGCGCTCGGTGCGTCATTTGGCGGTTACATGGTCAACTGGATCCAGGGGCACCCACTGGGCCGACGATTCAAGGCTCTGGTGACCCACGATGGAATTTTCAGCATGACGTCGATGCTTTCCACCGAGGAGCTCTACTTCCCTGTGCGGGATCTCAAGGGCCCATTGTGGAAGGTCCCTGAGAACTGGGAGCGTTGGGACCCGTCTCGACACACCGCAAACTGGCAGACACCGCATCTGGTGATCCACAATGAGCTGGACTACCGGCTGACGATCGCAGAGGGCCTTGCTGCCTTCAACGTGCTGCAGATGCGGGGAGTTGAAAGTGCGTTTTTGACTTTCCCGGACGAGAACCACTGGGTGCTCAACCCGGAGAACTCGCTCATGTGGCACCACACCGTGCTCAACTGGATCAACAAGTATGTGGGACTGCCGCCGGCATCGCGGGAGTTTGCAGAGTTTAGCACGACGAAGCAAGCGTCGATGGAGCGACGACTCCAGCAAGTGACGTTTGATGGGGCCGCCAGCTGAAACACTGGTTCTGTATAGATTAGTGTTTAGTAGTATATTCAACGGAGCCGAATACGAGGTCATATGCTCATCTAGCGATGCTTTGTCGGCATTGTCCAATGCCTTTATAACGTTATAACAGGTGTAGCTACTGTTTCGCACTACACCATAACGTAGCTACCAAGTGGGTATAGACAATGGAGCAAGATGAGGCGGGAAATACCATCTCTTTATGCAACAATGCGCCAATAAAGACCGGGTGAGGCTATTGTGCAGAGACAAGGGACCGGCGACCCCCGTTTCAAGTTTTCCATAGTTAGTACTTTCAAAGTACATTGTAGATTCAATCAACAAAGCAGTGAAGGTATATAATTACTACACGTTGTTCCTCGAAGTACCAGTAACTATCTCTAGGAATCAGACAGGCAATAATATACTACCAACTCGGAGAGTCTGTTGACAATGAGCAAGCGTCGCATCTCAGAAACTATATCACCATCTCCTGATCCATCACCGGCAGCAGTATCCCCAGCAGCAGCAGCATCGGCACCAGCACCTAAACGACGCCGAATGCGACGACAACACCACAGACAGTATTTATCCGTCGATCCTCCATCTCCGGAGGACTACTACCACGCCTCACCTACTACTACTACTACTCCGGTATCACCTACTATCCCCCCTGCACCATCATCCCCTCCACCACTACCACTACCACCAAGAACAACCCCCCGTTATCGACAAATCCTCCCAAAACCAGCATTCACCTCCACTTCCACCCCAAAACCCCCTACACACTCACCTCACCCTCACCCTCAACCCCAACCCCAACCCCCCAAAGGAAAAAACCCCAAGAGTGAAACAAGAAAAACCAAAATCCACCCGCACCTCCCCCCCATCCTACACCACCTCCGCACACCCCTCCACCCACTCGTCTCCAGCACAACAGGCCACGAACACCCCGACTTCCCTCTCTCCTTACTGCAATACCACCTCCTCACGTCGGATCAACTGGACAGACTCGCTGTGCATTTCCATCAGGTGCATCCGCCGGTGCGTGGCTCGTTCTGGTATCCGGTGAGGATTGTGCCGTGGCTTAGATGGGATGGTGGGAAGGGGAGGTATGTGGATATGGATATCGGTGAGGGTGTGGGTGTGGGGCTGGAGGTAAAGAGGAGGAGGTTTGGGAGGTTTATTGGACTTAGGGGGTGTGAGGGGGATTCATATCATCGTCATTCTCATATCGGGGGTGGGGGGAGGAAACTAGTAGGGAGGAAAGGGCGGGGGAGAAGGAGGGAGGTGGAGGTGGGGATGGAGGTGGAGGAGGGGGAGATTAGGGAGGAAGATGTTGGGGTGGATGAGGAGGAAGAGGAAGAGGAAGAGGAAACGGCGGAGGAGATGTTGGCAAGGATGGAGAGGGAGTGGTTTGAGGCGATGATGAGGGCGAGGTATGAGGGGGAGTATGCGATGAGGTGGAAGATGGGGAGGGGTTGATCATTTACTTACTACTATTATTTGTTATCATGGTTGGGTTTATGTTGCTGGGACATGTATTCGTTGGATTATATATTCGTTATGAGTGTGGGTATACTATATAGTATGGCGTTATGGTGAACTTCATTTGTTGAGCTAATGCCCCATCCCTCTCACCCAATTCTCCTCCACAATTCGCCAATACTTCTCGCGACTGTGCATTCGGAACGACTTCCCCCATTTGATCATCACCAGGAATACTGCTGCACATGCCATGCCCACGAACGCAGCGGATATAAAGCAGTTTTGGTATCCGAGGTGGTTCACCCACGGTGTGATTCTATGACGGTTAGCTTGTGACGATCCATATTGAAAGGATAGGGGAGGAATACCCATAGCCCATGGCAAACGACATGGTATTCCGAACCAAGATCACGCTCGCCATCGCATCCCCGCTCAACTCCCGGTAGCTGTCAACCAGGTAGTTGACGCTTAGCGTGATGCCGCATGTGTTCGCCAACGCTAGCAGACACATCGCGACGATGAGTCCGAACCAGTGCACTTCGTGCGCGGCGCCGACGCCCCAGAGCAAGAGAGATCCTGGCACGAGGAGAAGACATACGGCGAATGGCCACAGACGCTGTTCGGCTTCCATGATTCCGTTGTTGCGTCGCGCCAGTCGGAGGGTGAGCCAGTCACTGAAGCGGCCGGTGAAGAGGGAGCTGTTGATGTTAGTTGGTTTATTATCTACTTGAGAAGATTCCGGAAGACTCACGCTAGTATCGTACCCACAATGCAGGATACATAGCTGAGTCCGACCATGGCAGAGCTATGCAGGTTAGCATAATGCATGATTTAGAATGAAGCAACCGACCTGAAGTTATAAGGTGCGCCGCCCAAAATAATCGAAGCCGTTCCGTTCAGCACATTGAACCAGATAAGGTATGAGCCATAGGAAAACCTGTTATGGTTAGCTATATAAAACCACTGTTGCGGCAAACATACCCCGCGTAGAATACCACCGGCCAGCTCAGATAATACAATGTGTGGTAGAACCGGCGGAACATATTGTTTCTCGGCAGTCTGGGTCCTATAAGCGAGAGTTTCTGAAGATACGTCTTCTTCGGATATATCACCCCGCATTCTGTGTCACTCTGCTGTGCCACATCAGCAGGACGTTTCTCCTTCTCACCCTGCTCGGACGTGCGCGACGAAGCTTCTGTCGAAGTCACCTCGGCGACTGATGGCTTCTCGCGCACGTAGTTCGTCTCCTCCATGAAGAAGAACAAGAATACAATGCTAAAGGCGCAGAAAATGCTGGGCCAGTAGAACACCCATTGCCAGCCTTGGTACTGGGCGATGAAGCCGCAGATGACCGGGGCGAAGTAATTGCTGCCTGCCAGGAAGAATGCATATAGCGCCATGTATGTTCCCCGCTCATGGGTAAAGTACTGAACTGTCAGCTTTGTCTGATAATATGGAATCCGATGACTCACCACATCAGTTACGGTTATTTCTGGGAGGGCTTCAATGGGTGCCGTGAAGAAACCCGAAAGGATACTGCGCGCGATCCACTGGCCGTTGGTGTGGATATAGGGACTGCCAGAGTCAGTAGTTACACAGACGCCAATCGCCGGATGTGAGAACGTACCCCCACATTGAAGTTCCCTGTAGAATACATTAGTTCTGGTAGTGATGAGTTCCCAGGGTACATACCAAGATGCCGACCAAAGAAAGTATATATGTCAAACGCTTGCCATACTGCAGCGCTAGTGGCTGCCAAAACAAAAGCCCCCATCCGGCGAACAGAAACATATACCCCGTTCCCTCATTGAGAGTATCAACCGACACACCGGTTGCATCGGAGAGCTGCGTGAGCACCGAGTAGACGACCGAACATGCAATACCAGCAAACAGAGTGTACCTGCAGGTCCCATGTTAGTCCCCGCATCCACTAGATCACAACTTAATAGACTCATCCTGCAGACATACACGCTCACACAGATGGTAGACAAGGTCTTCCTCCATGGGGCCCAATTCAAGGGATCATCGGGATCATTGGACGGTTCCGGAATGAGAACGATGTCACTATCGCCGCGATCCGCATGACGGGTGGCAAGGACATGCTCCAAATCCACCAGCGTCACGGTGCCCGGAATAGCAGTCCGATCGAGGCCTGGAGTCATTTTGTAGGTACTGGATCAACCGCACAAGACGTTCATAAGAGAGAAGAGGAGGATAGAGAGTGGAGAGATGGGGAGGAATTAAAGGAATGTAACGTCAATGACAGCAGCAGGCGAGGTGGTCGAAGGCTGTTTATCAGAAATACTCCGAAAACGACCAGAACAAATCAAGTCAAAGCGTCGGCAAATAGCAAATATGCCATCTCCGCTGCAAGACCAAATTCCGAGCAAATGCTAGTAGATAAAGAGTAAGTCCATATAGATATCCGTCAAAGGTCCACCGGCCTAGCTGGTTCTGTTATCATCATCCACCAGATAAGCAGGCGGAAGACATTCCGTTGTGCAGCCAGGAGACAGGACTGACAACCGCTCAATTGTTGGCTCTGAATTGACGCTCTGTCCAGCTGATAACCAAAGAAGCCTGGGATCCACCTCTGCTATCTCCTCCAGCAGATCGATCCATTGCCGACAGCTGGATAAGTTGGATAACCACCCGTCCGGCATGGAACTTCCCCGCGCAGGGCCCATTTAACTCCATCCAGATGTCATCCATCGCTAACCGGTTTAGTTGCTAAAGCGAGGCGCGGGGCTGTCGGCAAATCGTGTCTCGCAGGCTGATCGGGATTAGCCTAGGCTGCTTTATTGGAAGTCCAGGAAAGGACCGTTGATAGCAGATGTTACTGGTGCATCGCTCCGATCGTTCTCTTCGATGGGGACAGATGCGATGCTCACGGACCTACTCCGCTTTAAACATGTCCCCCCTCCAGCACGGATCACGCTGGACAGAGCCATCGTAGTCCTTGTGCTTCCGTCGGGTGGACTCAGTTAGCTATCTTATCAGCTGTGTTGAATAATGATCTGATTCATACTTTCTCAATGGGGATATCATCAGGCTAATGGGGGTGCTCCCACTTTTGGACCGGATTTCGGGATATCTGGTGTGCCGGAATCACTCCTACGAATGGGCCAGAACAAGCCCAGATCATCGCCAACCCATGATGCCCCCAGATCTTATCAAAGATATCAGGGCACCTCCAAGTTGATCATCTCTACGCCGGGTTGGGCCCCAATAAATAAGGAGGAATTGAATCAAACTGCCGCCAGCAGCTAATATTATTCTGGTATCAAGTTCACGAATCTGGAAACCACAGCAGAGAATCTTAGATGACAATCCCCAAATAACCACAGACAGAAACATGCAGGAAGAGAGAATGAGGTGATATATGCAGATCTGGCTGGTATAATACAATCTGGCCAGGGCCAGACAAGTCCGCACGAGTTCAACCGACAGGAACAGGCCCACCAGCTGACTCACGACAGGACTCAAAACAGGTAGACACTGCAGCCCACTAGCTTGAACCACTGGCAATGTCATCCTCCTCAGGAAGATCCTTGATAACATCTTTCAGGATCTGAATCAGCTCATCAATGTCAGGCCGGTCTGCAGGCTCCACCTGCAGGCACTTGCGGACCACGTCCTTTACGGGCGCGCTGATCTGCATCGCGTTATCTTTGCGGCTATCATCGCCACCGGCCTTGCCCTTGCCCTTGGTCGCACTCGATTTCTCGTCGGGGAATCTCCAATCACCACCCAATACACACATGCTCAAGCTGCCACCTGTCTCTTCACTGCGGGCTTCGAAGGGGCTCTTGCCCACTAGACAGGCGTAGAGCGTGCATCCTAACGACCAGATATCCACCTTTGTGTCAATAATCGAACCCGTCTTGACGTCGAACAGTTCGGGTGCCCGATACGGCATCGTGCTGTGTTCAGCAGCAGTGTCTTGGACGGCCAAGGCGAGCGACCGGGAGGTGATAGCAATGGGGCTGGGTGCTAACGATCCGAGATCCATGAGAATGGGTGTACGGCCATCATCGGCGATCATGATATTTCCTGCAAGCAGACATTAGCGCATAGTAGCTACAATAGGAGCAGCAGCCGTACCGGGCTTGATATCCCGGTGGGCATACGGGCGAAGATCGCCGTCTTGCACGCCCTCCTGACTTATTGTGACCTCGTCATCCATCAATGGCTCATTCTCTTCTTCTTCATCCACATTTTGGCTGGTGCGTCGCTTCGGTTTCGGCATCCGCATAGCAGTGTCCGCATCTTCCTCTGCACCCTCTCTCCTCACAGCTTTAGCCTTGCGTGTAGGACCCGTACCGCTTTTCACACGGTAGAGATGCATCGCTCGAAGCGCATTGGCAACGCCGAGCATCAGCACCATCAAGCGCTTCTCCGGGAAGCGGGAATGGTTGACGAGGTTCGCATTGATGGCATCTTGTAGGTTACCCCGTTGGTAGTATGGTAGGAGAATGTAGACCGTCTTCGATCCTGCGTCGCCGCCATCGGCGCGGAATTTCGAGCCGGATTCGGTGGACACACAGTGGTCGATGGAATGAATGATGTTGTTCTGGGTAGTGAACAGATTGTAGGCCTCCACTTCCTTCAGCGCCTGGGAAACGGACTCCTGACCGAAGGGACACCGAATCTTCTTTAGCGCAAACAGTTCCGAGGTCGATTTGTCTTGAACGAGGTAGACATAAGAGAAACCACCCTAGAATGATGCGTTGATCGTCAGCATCGCGCATTCCGGGTGTTGTGCAGTAAACCATTAGCCAGAGGCAATCATACCTCACCGAGGAGTCGGAGCAATTTAAAGCTACGATTGTTGATCTTTAATTGCGGCGTGCTAGGGAAACAGCACATGCAATCTGTGAAGTTGTAGAGAAGATCGAAGAAGTATTGCGCCATGGTGGATGGAGGAGCACGCCGGTGTAAAGGAAGCTATTCACAATGCAGCTACAGGAAGCTGATTATTGAGCCGCGATAGCTGTAGGGACGGGGTCCCCGTGGCGACTAGGAGGTGACTACGCGGCACTATCGTTCTGACGGCTGGGATCCACCCCGACGATGGCGCAGGCGCACAGGCAGCAGAAGAAGCCGGCGGAGCAAGGGAGAGGGGAAAGAGCAAATAATCCGAGGCCCTTGAGCAGATGGAATGTACAAAGTAAGGTCCAGAGGAGAAAGGGAATGAGGATGAATTGGGGGAGGTTGAGGGAAGAAAGAAGAGCGAGAACCGATTAATGAATACTTTAGAAGCCGCGTGTTCAGACCGGAGTCGATATCCGTGGACTGAATTGAGGCGGAGTTAGTGAGTGAGTGGATGCAATGAGAGCCAGTCGATGATGTGGTGAGATGGAGAACCTGAGGCATGAAAAGGCATCCACTAGTCATGCGTTAGTCAGCCCGCCAAGGAGCTGGTGGTAAACTGTACTTTTCTGTGGGTAATACATACCTGTACATACTGATACAGAATACTCAGATTGAACGGTTTCGCATGATTAATGCAGGTATGAGCATGTATGCAGTAAATACATAACACCCACTCGGGCCGGTGGGGCAGGCCACCCGCCGAAAGAAGCAACCCATGGTTCGTGTGTTTATTGTGGCCGAGGCCGCTGCGATGCGAAGATGGAAGAATAATTGGTCTTTGACGGCCAACTTGTGACCAACTAGACGGTGTGAAAGGGTCCCCTGTCCCTGCTAGCATGACGACACAGCATTGGCCGTTCAACCTTAGCAACTGTTTTGCTTCTGTATTTCCACTCCCTAAGGCAGTGACTGACTGAACAATTCAGACTCTAGTCCATCTCTTGCTATCCACCGGACGGTTTGGCTCGTTCTCTTTTCCGTCCTTCGCTGCCCAACTGAGGCAAACGCTGGACGGCATAAGGAAACAAACCCTCCGAGCCTCTCCTCCTCGCAGCTGAACCCCAGCATCCAGCAAACACCATGACGACTGGCCTATGATCAGTCATCTTTCCAACCTCCCTACTACTTCTGCAACCACCCCTTTCTAAACGCATTCCTTAAATCCCGCCGTCGCAGTTCTCTAAAAGCCCTCCCCCTCCTTCGTGCGGTATAAGTCGACTTCATTTCCACCACCCCCTCTATTTAGCGCACCACCAGTCGTCCCATTCCCCCCATCGCTATGGCGCCCCTCGACGACGTCCAGGTGGGTGACCTGGTCAATGTCCCCGGGGGTATGTTTGGGACGGTCAAATATCTGGGAGGTGTTGCGGGCAAGCCGGGAAAGTTTGCAGGCATTGAGCTGGCGCCGGAGCATGCCAGACGAGGTAAAAACAATGGAGATGTCGAGGGCAGGCGATACTTCTCTACGTCTGTCCCCGGCTCAGGGATCTTTGTGCCTATGAACAACAACAAATACGTCACCAAGCGCTCGTCTGGTCCGACCTCGACAGTGAGCACCGGCCCTCCAACCCCCTCCCGACCGGTCAATTTCAGCAAGTCCGTTGGCCCTGGTCCCGCAATGCGCCCACCACGCGTCCGACGCCCTTCCCTCCCCCGCCCTGAATCTCCTAGAGGACCTCCGCCGTCCAAGCTCACCTTGACCGGGCTACGCACGCCCTCTTCAGCCTCCCGCGCGGCTCCCTCCAGCACCTACCCCCGCAGTCCAATCAAAGCCCCGTCGCGCGCCTCTGACCGCCCTCCCTCGCGAGTCAGCCGGGTGAGCACAGAGGATGATGGTCCGGCATCTAGAGTATCTGAAGTGCAGCAATCAGCGATGGCAGCAGAGGTGCAAGAGCTGAAGGATCACATCAAGAGTCTAGAGAACCAACTTCTCGACCGAGATAAGCAGCTAGATGAGCAAGCTCATACCCTGTCCGACTTTCAGAGAACTCTGGAGGAACTGGAGGGGTCAGATTCGCTGTCCATCCGGGCCCAGTTGCGTGAAAGGAACGAGAGGATTGCTCAGCTGACGGCCGAGTTTGACTTGCACCGCGCCGACTTCCGAAGCACCTTGGATACTTTAGAGATCGCTGCTTCCGAGACGGAGCGAGTTTATGAGCAGCGCCTGGACGAATTGATGCAACAAAATAGAGAGCTTCAGGACCGCGGGGAGGATGTCGAGGCTGTTGCGCGACAGCTCAAGCAATTGGAAGAATTGGTGTCGGAGCTCGAAGAAGGTCTGGAGGACGCCCGGCGTGGTGAGGCCGAAGCCAGGGCAGAAGTTGAGTTCTTGCGCGGGGAAGTCGAGCGGACAAAGCTCGAACTACAGAAGGAGCGGGATTCCAAGGACTCCCATGCAGCTAGTGATGGGCCGCAGTACTCGAAGGAACTAGAGCAGAAGGATGATGAAATCCGTGGTCTAAAAGCAATCATCCACTCCTTGAGCCGTGGCGACCCAGATTTGCATGCCCTGCAACAGAATGGATTTGGAACGAGCCCGCCGAACCATGATCCCGACCATGTGGCTCACTTGGAACAACGTGTCGAGGAATTTGAACGCATCGCCGAAAGAAAGACATACCGCATTGAAGAACTAGAACGCGAGCTCCAGCAGTTGCAGCTGAATGGTGAAACACACGCTCCCGGCTCCGCGGTCTCTTCGTCGCCCAACCACCAAAAGTCCCCCAGCGTCAATGGGAAGCTTACGAACGGCCATGGAATCAACCATGCGCATCGGCTTTCGGACCGCACAGTCGTTCCCCACGACTGGCAAGATTTGCCTCCGCACGAGGGACAATATCAGGCCTACTCTACCCGCCACCGCGGTATTTCGGATGCTTCTCATCATCGTCTGGAGACCATGCACGAGTCAGACGGCCGCTCGGAGGACGGTGGCTCCTTGTGGTGCGAGATCTGTGAAACCGGAGGGCACGATATTCTGACCTGCACCAACATGTTCGGCGCAGAAAGTAAGAAGGTCCCTGAAGCTGCTGAGGCACCCCATGACGACAGCTCTGTGGATGAAAAGCCAACTCCAGAGGAATCCACGGGTGAACCATCCACATCCTCACATGAAGAGGAGGCGACTCCTCAGAAAACGGGTCGTGATGCTGTGATGGAGGGACTAAGAGAAGCGAACTTGTCCGCTTCTTCCTCAACCTTGGGCCCTGTTGGCGGTAAGGAAAGCGGCGTCGTTGACGAGTCTAAGTGGTGTGCTCTTTGCGAGAGAGATGGCCACGAGAGCATTGACTGTCCATTTGATGATTGATGGAAGCGGAATGCCGATGCATGAGATTCATGGCAGCGTAATGACCGAATGGTCATGATGCTACGTGCACCGATGATTGACATGTGTGTCCTATATGTCGGCTTAGTGGACCTGTCATTCTGGTATTCTTCTGTTCAAGGCGCACTATGTCTAAACACATTTTCAGGATATCCTTCTTCTTGTTCTATCACAAACGACATAATCATGTTGGCATTTTCTGGTCTTTCTTTTCTACCTTGGCTGTATGAAACCGCATAGCGCGCTTTGCAAGGGTTGCTGATTGTTCAAAGCGGCTGCATTACATTCCTGTGCCACTACTCTACTAGCCTTTTTCATTTTTCTGTGTCACATTCTTTAGACTGTTTTACTTGCCTGCTTTGGTCACAGCGGCTTCTTGGCTATGTGGCTATTTCTCTATCTTTTATATTCCCCTGTCCAGAACTGTGCCTGATACCTCTTTAATTATACATTCGAATCAGAATCCACTTTCCTCGTATACCCTGCCTCGGCAAACACCTAGCATCATACTACTGGTAAATAGTTTGGAAAGCAGACAATAGACACTTTTACACAACTACTATTACATCCAACCAACCAACCATATATATCGTCAACAGGGTATCTCTTCATCACAACATCGCCCACTCGACTCTTGACTAACCAGCTCCCCAATCAACAAACCACCCCTCCTCCAAAGGAGTCCTACAACTAAGGCTGCACCACCTCCCCCTCCTCGTACTTCGACCTCGCGACAACCCCACAAGCCTTACACGTCCTCTTCTCCTCATCGCCCGCAAACTCCTCGACAACCTGCTTAACCTGCGTTCCCAAATCCGTGCAAACAAACTTCTTCTCCCACACCACCTCCCCGCAATCCTTGTTACGACAATACCACCTCATCGCATCCACCGCACCTTCCTTCCTCGGCTGCTCCATCACCACGCCCACCGTATCCTTGAACCGCACGGGACAGTGCGGCGTGTTCGCCGGCAGCAGAAACAACGATCCCTCGTGGATCGGGATGTCTTGGAAGGTAGACGGGGTGGTGGATTCGTCGACGGTGCGGAGGAGCATGGAGCCTTTATATTGGTAGAAGAATTCGGGCGTCGTGTTGATGTGGTAGTCTGTTCGGGCGTTGGGGCCGCCCACTATCATTACTGTGTAGCCTTGTGTGGCGGGTGAGGAGGGGTGGTAGACGCAGTAGTTGTTTACGGGGGGTTGGAGGAGGTGGGAGTTGGTTTCGAGCCTGTTATAGTTTAGTTAGTTAGTTGTTTTTGATGTCTGTATGTGGGAGAGGGTGGGCTTGTGTTGCGTGTGTTTGTTCGTAGAGGAGTAATGCGGGGGAGGGGTAGTAGTAGTGGTAGTTTGTAGTGGCGATGTGGAGGTGGACTACTGTACCATTTGGGGATGTTCAGTGCTGGTGGAAGCATGATGACGATGTGATTTGTCTCTGTGTATAGTATTGTAGATTGATAAAGTGAAGATGCTGAGAAAAACCAAGATAAAATCGAAGAAAGCAAGTGATTATAAATGCAGATCAAATTAACCCAACCAACCCATCACATCTATCCGGTGAAGGGTCCTTATCCGTCCCGGAGATAGCCGCGGATTAACGCCGCGCTCGGCGCCGGAACAACTCCGCCCCGGCAGATTTTCTCGATTCGCTTTTTGCGGTCCAGGCGAGCATCTGGCGCCGACGAAGATTTTCGATCTACAGATTGTTGATTGACCACGGAGATTTCGCAGAGTCTCCAGTACAGCTACAATGGCGTCAACGTCTCAACCCCCTCTTCGGTTCACTTCCCACAAGAACTTCGTGTACCGTCTCGTCTTCGCTACGTTGACCGGCCGCACGATTCAAATCTCCCAGATCCGTCCTTCGTCCCCTACGAATCCCGGTCTCGCTCCTCATGAAATCTCCTTCCTCCGTCTCCTGGAGTCCATTACCAATGGCTCCCAGATGGAGATCTCGTACACCGGTACCATCCTTGTTTATAAGCCTGGTCTCATTACAGGCAGTTCGCCAGGCGTGGCCACGAGCAGCGGAGGTGTCGTCAGGCACGAGCTCCCTGCTGGGTGCAATCGTGGTGTGAGTTACTATCTGCTGCCGCTCTGCCTTTTGGCACCCTTCTCCAAGGCGCCCATCAAGGTCCTTTTTACTGGTCCAGGTGTGATCACCTCATCCACCCCGACTGGTGACATGTCCGTGGACAGTGTACGGACTGCCATTCTCCCTCTCTACAACCAATTTGGAATTTTCAACAACATCGAGCTGCGCATCCTACGGCGATCGAACCCTGGACCCAATGGCAGAGGCGGTGGTGGAGAAGTTCAGCTAGTATTTGGCCACCAGCTCCGGCTGCCAAAGACCCTGCACCTCATGAACGCCGGTCGCATCAAGAAGGTCCGCGGTGTGGCCTACTCCGTCGGTGTTTCCGCATCCAATAACGCAAGAATGATCGAAACCGCCCGTGGTGTTCTGAACCCACTCGTCCCTGACACCTATATCTTCTCTGATGTGTCGTCGGCGCCGCTCGTGCCTGCCCCCGAGAAGAGCAACCCCTCCGCGAAAAAGAAGATTGGTCTTGGTTTCGGACTCTCGTTGGTCGCTGAGTCGTCTACTGGCTGCCTGTTCTCCGCCGATGTGGCGTCGCCTCCCGCAGGCGGCGAGGCGCCCGAAGACATTGGGAAGCGATGTGCTTACCAGCTACTCGAGGCCGTTTCGAAGGGAGGTTGCGTTGCCCCTGCAGCTGTTCCGACCATGCTGGGTCTGATGACGATGGGATCGGAGGATGTTGGACGAATCCAAGTTGGTCGGGACGTGATCGCCGAGGAGAGCACCATCCAGCTGGCCAGGGACCTGACCAAGTTCGGTGCTCCGGGCTGGGGTCTGAGAGACGCGAGTGGTGAGAATGAGAATGGGGACGTGATCATCAGTGTGGTTGGCCGCGGCATTGGCAACGTTGGCCGTAAGGTTGCTTGATTGTGAAGACCCAACATCAGCCTCACATCAACTCCGCGGTCGGCTGTTTCAGGTATTACCGACCTTTTCTGGTCGGTCGTCTGTCCAGTGGAGCTTCAAGGGCCCTGTCACAGCGTGGTTTCAGAGTATGGCCAGCTTGCATCTGATTGCCCAATGTGAGCGCCGGGTACTGCCCCTGGCGACAGCGGTGTATCACGCAGGCGCAAGGGAAGGGCCATGGTTTCATCTCCACTGAGGGGAAAAGCGCAGACCACGTCATTTCTAATAAAAGCTGCATTTCGTCTTCGACCTCCGACTTTTACCTTCTTTATCGCCAAGTTGCATCGCTTACTTGGGTCATGTGCCACGTGGCTGAGATTGGCGCCCAGCCGACAGCTGTTCGCCGCACACCGCAGCCCGGATCTTGGCCTGTTGGATTCCCATCTCCTGGCAGGGCAATGCGATGCTTCGGACTGGCGAGTGGGTGCTCTCGTGAGGCACTTTGTTGTTCATATTTCCGTGATACCCTTTATTTGTTTGGTATGTGGGCTTCCACCTCACCGCTGGGAGCCACTCGAAGATGGAATGGGATTGGCAGTTCGAAGTAGGGTTTGCTGGCTGCGGCCTAACCGACGTGCTTCATGCAGCAAGTTTAAGTTTCTGAGACGAGAATGGATTGTCGTTCCTGTACATAGAAATAGCATGAATATAAGATGCTCGGCTCCGTCCTGATTTCTTCCCCGACTTCGTACTCTCTTGACATGATATAACTCCAGCTATCCACACCGTCGCCTTCCCGCCCACCTCATTAGGAACATAGCTCGCCTACGAATCGGAGAATTTGCCATTACGTTGCCAGAACCGTCGATGCCCGTACACCCGTGACTACGCCGTTGACATGGATTGCGATACCCGATGCTCCGACTTGACGCTCGTCTACCCGATTCTTCTAAAGCTGACACCAGATCGATCGTTCGTTTAACGATGCTGTTCAAAAGGCAGCCGACTTTGCGAGGGACCGATACCAGATGGATTGTCCAACCTTGACCGCACTTGCTCGTCCTTGGAGTGTCATCCCGGCTTGGATGCAGTCTTCCCGCCTCTTCATGCAGCTCGAACCTTCCCGAAGAGGAAGTCGCAGTTCTGCATCTGCTCCTTCCCTGCCGGTGTCTGTATGCCCGTCTTCGGCCTAGTCTCTCTGGCGATAATGACGGCCTTCCCCTCCTCCTTCTTTCTTTCTCTTCTCTCTCCTTCTATCCTTCTCTCTTCCTTCCTTCCTCCCTTTCCTTCCACTTTCAACCTTCCTTGCCTTTGCTAATCTGCTTAACCGCCATCTCTTCACAGGTATTCCTCGCCGTCGTTCCTTCCCTGTTTCTGCTTCGAGCGATCTTATGAACATGCTGCTTGGGTAAGTGCTCGTTCAGGTCTGGTTGGGCTGACCGCCGTCTAGGCTCTTTTGGTGGGCATACTGAGGGATTTGACCTTGTCTAGCATGGGTTACATCAGAGCTTCTCTGGTGGTGCTTGTGTGATGGCAAGGCAGTTAGCTACTAACTGAACAATAAAGCAGGGATAGTTGCGTAACACCTCCTTTCTGAGCATAAGCCGCTCCGTGGGCAGGCCCAGTAAGCGACAGAGTTTGTGAGTCACAGCCATATGCTTTGCTGTTTCTTATACTGACAGTCACCAGGCTGGCTAAAAACACTCAGCCCACCACGCAGGCTAGCTCCAAAAGGGAAATGCTCTGGTTAGTCCTCTTGCTCATCATATCATGCCTCTCTAACGTAATCAGTGCCTTCCACCCATCCTTTTTCTCCTCCCCATTCCTGGCCACCATCGGCCCTTCCTCCTCTTTTATCTGTCCTCCTGTTTCGATGCCTGGCGCTGCGGTCATGCCCAGTAAGTGACAGAACTTGTATGTCATACCTTGTCAGCAGGCTGAGTTCAGAGCTAACTGTTGTAGGCTGGTTAAACATCGTCCGCACGTCAGGCTAGCCTCTACCGTGCATATGTCAGTGCCCTTTTGTCATATTTAGGGAGGAACATACGCTGACTGTTATAATAGCCCAGCACTAAACTGCCTGCCATTTATACCTGTCAACATCTCTCTTATATGGCTATGGCTAAAACAAGGCAGTCATCGAGCGCTGGGATATCCCGGTTGATATCTACTGGGGCATCTACCATACACAGGAGGGGACATGACCAAGAGCGAGTACCTGCACAGTGGCAGGCCCAGTAAGTGACAGAGCTTGTAAGTAGTCCTGCCACTGTTTTGCAACTAGTACTGATGGCTCTACAGGCTGGCGAAAACACAAAGAGTGCCACCCCGCAGAGAAGCGAGGAGAGTCAGCCGATAGGTTAGTGAACCAGAACAGATTTCACAACATACCGGTACTAACCATCTCATAGGGAGACTGATGGTGGTTGGGGATTACATATGCAGATTGACAACTCTGTATCGTCCTGGTCAAGGTTTCTACCCTACGGGGAGTTTTCCTTAGCTGTAACCCGAATGGGAGGATAGAAATCAATACATAATATCTAACATGTTCCAATACTTCACATTAATGTAGCAGTGTTCTTATGGTGCCCTGTAGACCATCGTAGGCTCAATCTTGTCCACTACGTTGCAATATCGAGTTTGACTCCATCTCAAACAATCATGCCTTAATTTCTGCGAGTTTGAGGGAATTGACAGTATTCAAGGCCACATCCTACTTCACACAGTGAAGCACTGCATATATAGCATAGCATCCTATAGCCCGGATCCAATAAGGTCAAAGAGCGTGAATGCAACTTCGAGTTAAAAGCATGGGTTGAATCAAATATAGATCTAGTAGAATTGAATTGAGACAACATAATTGAATAGCCCATCCTCGACTCCAAGCATAGATAAATGACAACTCCACCACGAGCTAAGCAACTTACCATCTTCATCAAAACTCCCGCATCGGCGAAGCCACCATATCCGCAGGAGCCTCCACACACACCCATAGACTGACTTTTGAATAGAAATGAGATCAAGAAGTCGTAAAACAGAGACATATTTATCCACATCATCTTTCATTTTGACACGGTGTCTCCTGAAATAAGCCAAATTACAAACACGATATTGAACCGAAGACAGGAGGATGAACCCTACTCAGAGTAGCAGCGAGCGAAGATGAGAGCCATACTCCCGGTTCTGCGTGACCAAGTATCGAGAAAAAACCAGAAGCCCTACAACGTATCATACCTCCTAACAGATCTTTCCATACAATCACCATTAACATCATCATGGCACTACCTGACGGCGAAAATTTAATGCTGTGTGCTCATTCACAAATACATTTATCAAACAGACCACTTTTATTGCAGGCTGAGACAATTGCATCGCAGCTTAGTGAGCCCAAGCCCTCCTAGAACGACTGGTAATAAGGTGTCAGGGAAATACTAAGAGTAATTATCAGTAATTATGATCCTAAATGGTTAAACGATCTCTAGTATAGTTATCTGAAGTAAGCTCAGAACCAAGCTACATCATTCCACAGCTTACCACTGCCAGACTGATGATTAAAGCGAAATAATAAACTATAATGTGTAAAGATCTATGCAAATGAACATACCAAATCACGTCCCTGCAGGACCTTTCGTAATGGTATTCCCTACTGTCCTACGCCTAATCTACACTAAGTGGCAGTAAAGAATACCTCAACAGTTGCCTCACTAAATAAGTTAATGTATGGCATGCGCCTCCCCACAAAATCTAACCTAGTACTAATGAACAGTATTAGTGAAGAAATACCAAGACACACGCGACAGCATACGACACTTTGCAAGTCACAGCAGGGTGTCTTTATAAAAAAAAGCATACGATGCTAAAATAGAAGCTATTTTGTTCACGAAAGACAATCTGGCCATACTTAGATTTTTAAAGGCTACATACACTACAGGGGTTACCCTATCCCGCAAACTGGACCTTCCTTTCAAGGTCGTTGAGCGAGATGGACACCTAACTTACAAGCCTGAGTTCCTCGCTGAGCTGGTGACTACATCAGGGATAAAACACCGTTGCATTCTACTACGCATATAGTTTGTGACGAAGTCATTGAAGTTACATAGTATATTTCCTTGATCATACGTTTAATACAGATGGAGAAACAAGGAACAAGGAAAGAAACGAGCAAATGCTGCTAGAACATTATCCACCAATCAATCCGGGATATATTACAGCTCATCTTATGGGAACTGGGATAATCTGCCTGAGGGTCTACCTCTACCAGTGTACGTGGAATGAGGGCCGTTTTTTTTTTTGTTTTTTTTTTTTGCACGGTGCCCTATAGATTACAATAACAGCAATACTAGGACAACTCTTAAGCTGGAATTCGTTTGACAAAGGTATTCTCTACCAAGAAGAATTCTCGTGTACAATTAGAGCGATCATTTTCCTGTCAACAGGTTCGGTACTTGACTCAAGGGGCCTGTTGGGTATTGATGATATGTACTACATTGATACTAAGGTCAGCTACGAAAAACTGATGACAAAATAGTCTTGACTATAACTATCCAATTCAGTTGGTCTTCCAACTTTCATGATGGGACCTCCTAGACATGGTAATTGCTTCTATCCAGGATAGTCAACTTGAGTAGGAGTTGGGAGCGAGTATTGCAGAGCTTTTTGGAAATACCTCTGATGATTGAGAGTGATGGTTGCCACTGACGAAGCGAAGAATAAGATGCAGAATATGAAGCAGACCGATACTAGACGATAATGAGAGATGATGTCTCAAAGCAGAAGGTGCAGGCGTGTGTGTAGCGGCCAGGCCGTTGTTGCTGAGCTCTTCTGGTTACTTGGGATAGTTATTCCGGACATTTATTACCGGCTTGTATATTAACAGAGCAATAATAACTACTACTCAGTAGTAGTTGCATGTAGTTAACGGCCACCAAAATCACAGAAACTATCCATTGCTTCTCACAATCCTTATTGATCTGCAAAAATTAACTAGGACACCAAAGACTACTTCACGGTGGAGCTTCTACAAGAGAATATGATATCCCGATTCCATTCAGCATCCATTTAGACCGCGCAGAGCAATGGTGAAACAGATTGTTTGGATCTAATCATGTCTTCAACTGTCGCAGTCTTAAGGCCTAAACCTTGGAACTTCTCGGACCCTCGCGATCTGTCCAGAAACGGAAAACACATAGTGAATGTATATATTCGAGATGTCCCACTCATCTGATTAGTGTCCTCATTTGATGCTGACGAGACAAGTTGGACGAACATGCATAAAGGAAAGCTGTAAGAGGACCACCATCCACCTGCCACTGGTCTGTAATCAGAGCATATTTCTAAGATACTCCAATACATGATCAGGTAGAGTTCTATAGCTATCCAACTTTCCTCCTATGACAAGGTCCTCTAAACTTGCTTTCCTGTAGCCCTCAACCTCCCATAAATTATCGGGGAGCATCTTCATCATTTCTCCCGTTCCCCACATTTTGCGGCAATAGGCTGGGACAGCGAGATTACTCTCCTTGCTGAGAGAATCCTCAATCCTTTGATTTATTTTCTCTAAGCTTCGTGTCGTAATAGAGGGGTCCCTGCCGTTCTTCTCTTTCATGATCGCAGCAATTTCCATGCCTGTTGGTGCAAGCTCTGACAAAGTGATAGTCCGGTTCTGGATGGTGTGTATAGGTCTGGTGGTAAATATGTCCACGTATGCAGCTGCTACGTAGTCCTTAGTGCTACAAGGAAGTTAGCTTAATCATCACACCCAAAGGGGGGGGGGGGGGGGGGGGGGTTTAGATCAAGGGAGTCTCTGGGTGAAAATATTAACGCACCACATAGTGACTCTTTCACGAGCAGAGTTGCCGGTGTATACTAATATATTATTTTGCAAATCAACACCCACTGCCCTATAATTTTTGTAGAAAATCAGTTACAGCATAATACATCCCGGGTGCATGGTTGACGGACTGACGTTGTACTCAAGGTGAATTCAGCGAAATTTCCTACGTGGATGACGGTAGTTGGAATCCCAGCATCCTTAGAAGCCTTTTCGACTTTCGCTTTTGCCTTCATACAGGGCATGCGCATTCCCTGCTCACAATACCGCAGACAGAAATCCGAAGGGGAGAACAGCTGGACTTTAGTCCTAGGGATGGCTTTCACAAAGCCATACTGTCTGTCGGTTCCTTCGTCTCCAACAAGAGAACTTTGAGACAAAATTCAATTAGCATAGATCCGAAAAGGTCATAAATGCGCAGTAGCTCTTGACTAACATCACAATGTCTATATCTTGCAAGGCATCAACCAGAGCGTCTTCATCAAGAACGTCGACTTCAATCTTTCTCACATGTTCTGGGAGATTGGAAGTGTCTGAGCTAGGGCGGTGCAGAACAGTGATTGGAGCTCCAGAGGCAATTAGAGCAGGGACAACTCGAGAGCCAACGAATCCACGGTGACCATAGACAGCGATACGGTTGAATGCCATGATTTAGGTGACAAGAGGTGACCGAGAAAGAAAATTTATAATTGGTGTCGAAAGCTGTTGGAATAGGCCGGTTTGAACAGTTATATCAAGTTAAACAATCTCGAGCTCGGAAAAGAGGACTTTATATAACTATCAACAATACGCCAAAACTGCAGATTTCCAAATGAGCGTGAGTCAAAATTCCTTGCCATTTATAAAAAAGAGTAGCCGGTCCACGTCGCATAGACCAACAGGTTCGCAATTTGGCCTAAAGAGGAAGATAGATTACCCCTAAGGGGACTGCCTAGATTGGCCATATGTCCCTTCAAGGCTAATGTAGCTTATCCGCATTATGAAAGTTTCCTATTTGGGCCATTTCGCGAGGTTGTGGGGATCGATCTGAGTTTCCTCGAATCATTTGAGGTGATGGTGCCCACTTCTGCCGAAGCGGATCAACTTAAATGTCAGACTTCATTGGCAACGCATGTGAGGCGAGATGTCCACGAGGATGCAGGAGTCTCTCGAGCCATACGGCCTAGGGAAATAGGATGATCGTAGCCATCACTAATCATCATCTGAGAACTCTGCAATGAGAGGGGCTCGGAAGGTTTGTTCAGGATGGAATAGTTTGGTTCATAGGAATAATAGCTTCTACATATTATTCCTCGTTGAAACATTTGAGTTACCCCTACTTCTTGGTGGCCTTTGACCTACTTGAAATCAATCATACTACATCGCTAAGATGATAAAGTAGAAGAAGCGAAGTCTAATAACTTTATTTATAGCTTCGTATTCATGTTATTTCTTTTTCAATACGAATAAGTCAACTCATTTTTATGAGTCGAATAATACATGCAACTTTATTCCAAGAGTCCCCCCCATCTCATCATTCGCGCTATTATAATCCATAGCTTTCAATAAGACGATATCGTTCCCATTCAACACCACCGGCAGATAGTTATGAGAAGCGTCGGCATGATGCCAGATAGACAATGACAGCCCGCGAAATCCTCGAGCGGAGCTCCTCGGCGAGAGTCATGGTGCCGAACGAATATGCAGGATATCC